AAAAATCCTTGGCAGAGATAAAAATCTGACTTGGCCGAGCCAAATAGCGGTGTCTAAACGAGCGATTTTTCATCCTTTCGAATCGTTTTTATGATTTTTCTCTTTCATTTCTGAAATTTTTCATTAGAAATTGAAAATTTCGCCGATTGAAAACGTTTCATTTTATTTCCTTTTATTCCATCTTTAATTTAAAAAATCTTTTGCTTTTATAATTTTTTTCTATATACATATTTTTCGTATTTCATATTTTCTTTAAATTTATTATTTTTCTTATCACTATTATCACTATGTTATTTATCCATTTAATTGTAATTTTAATATTTGTTATATATATTTACTATTAGTATATTATTTACATTATATTGTCTAAAATTAAATTTATATGATAATAAAGATAAATAAGATATTTATATATTCTAAATTTAAACATATAATATAATACAAATATTAAATCTTTATATTTTGTTTATTTAATAATTCAATCGTCGCCGTTTTTTTTCCATCAGTAAAATCAGTCTTATTTACTTATTTCGTTTCAGCTTAATATAGTTTCTTTTTCAGTTCGCAAAAGTTCATTTTAATTCATTCATTCCATGATAAATTTACGATTTTAATTGAAATATAAATAAAAGTAAAAGTTTTCATTTATTTTAATATTTAATGTCGAAATATTTTATGCAAATTTTTATTTCTATTTTTTTTCATTTTTATAAACTTTTCAATATCGAAAAAATTTTATTTTTAAAAACGTTGAATTTTTATCTTTTTATTTTATTTTTTATTTTTAAAAATTTTCTTGATATTTATTTTTTAAATTTTTCATTAATATTAAATTTTTTTGCATTTTTATTAAATTAAACAAATATTTATAAAATATTTTAGTGATATTCTTTTAAATCGGCGAACAATGAAACGAGTTAAAATAAATTTCTTTTAATTATCAGTCCAATTAAAGATTCAATTAGAATTGATAACTTTTTTAAAAAATAGTAAAAATGTTAATGCAATTATATTATAAAATATTAAATTAATATTAAAATAAAATATTAAAACAAATAAAAATAATTACACAATAAATAGTATATATAATATAATTATATAATATATAATATAATTAATTTAAAATATATATAATATAATTAATTTATATATAATATAATTAATTTAAAATACAGAATAGAAGAATAAAGAAAAAATATTTAAAAAATTTACAAAATATAGTATAGTAATTGTCGAGTTTAAAATAATCCAGTTGATATAATTATTATGTTTCTTTGCAAACTGTTTTTCAAAATTTCTATGAATTCATTTTTATTGTGTTATATTTATGGTTTGTCATGACCTTGATTCACCGAGTATTTTAATAATGAATTGAAATTAATAGCGGTTTGGCGTATAATTGAGAAAGGTTGGAGAGAGGTCTTTCTTATGGGAACACACAAAAGAATAATATTTGAATATCAGAATGGATAAAATGTGCGGCGACAAAGGCAATCATCGACTCACTCGCAGTTTTTCCCCATTGTTTGGCTTACCTGAATTTTTTAATTTATGGACTTATAAACCCACTCGCCGTTTTTGGATATTTCCTCATTGGCTTATCCGAATTTGCTATTTTTTAATTTATGGACTTATAAACCCACTCGCCGTTTTTGGGTTTTTCCGCATTGTTTGTCTTATCCGAATTTGCTATTTTTTAATTTATGGACTTATAAACCCACTCGCCGTTTTTGGATATTTTTAGTAGTTTCTGGATTTCTAGTTTCTGGATAAACAAATTTCCCACTTTACCACGTTCATTGTGAATTTCTGAATTTGTCAATCTTTTCAGTGTTTTTAGACGAATAATTTTTCTCTTCGCGGCTAATGGTTTTCGAATCGCTAAAAATGAATTAATTATTGGGGAGATTTGAAAAATACCACCGATTTCATTTTTTTTCACCATTTTAGTAAAATAATTTAATTTAATAAAAAATAAATTAATTAATAAATTGAAATAAATTAATTTACAGATTTTTGAGTTATAATTGAGAAATTTAGCCGATTTCATAATTTTTTAATGAAAAAATTTCTTTCGCAAAACCATCCTATTTGTTTTCAAATATTCGACCTCGGCCTTGGCCTTGGCCTCAGACGTACTTAACTTCGGCCTTAGTCTGATCCTATGGCTCAGTTTTTGTTTTTTTTTTTCTTTTTAGATTAATTGATCTTTAATTCATGAAAATGATATGGAAAATGACGAAAAAATAATAGTGCTTTTTTGCATATCTAACTTTACGGTGAACTCAATTTCAGTCGCTTTTTGCCTATTTTTTACAATTTTTACAATTTCATTCCCTCTTTATTTATTACTATTGTGCAAAAGAATATTTATTTAACGCTTTCGCTTATTTGTTATTTCTAAAAATCTAAACGCTCTTAAATTTATGGCCGCAAGCAATAGTGATGCACTTAAACAGTAGTGCTTAACACGTTTGATGCGTTTGGGAGACGGCAGCCTGTTTCGAAAACTTCCTTTTGTTTGGCCGTTAGGCTGCTTGTCGATTGCATATTAGGCTTATCTTCTTCTCTATATTATCACTTATCCATGATTTTAATTTTTCTTCGAGATCCTATTTCAAAAATAAATTATCGCGAATATTCGGAATAAAATCGTTTTTGGCCTTTTTGCTAGTTGGAATAAAGCAGGACATTTCCAGGTTCCAGGCTCCAGGTTAGCCTGGTTGTATTGATAAATATTTAGTCTAATATTTTAGTTTTGAAGCGATTTTAATGGCGGTATTGTTGACGGAATTTATTTTTAATGGAATTTTGTGGCTAATTCGTCGAGAAAATGATTAGATTCAATTATGAAATGAAATTAATATAATAAAATTATTTTTGGAGAAGCATTTTGGGAAATAAATTCTCAAACAAATCTTTACAAGCTTTCGCTTTCATGAACTGCGTACTAATTTAGACTACTGATTTCTCTGCTTTCTTTATCACTATTATCACCATTTCAAAACAATGCAAATGTGCGAGAATCCGAAAATTCCTATCAGAAAAATGAATACGGTCTATCGTAATGAATTGAAATATTTTGAGACCTTTCAAAATTGTTGTATTTTATTTTAAAAAATTTCTAAGACCTTATTATAAGGCATAATTGACATCTGCATTTGGCACGTAGGGAATTTTTATTTCCCTATTAAATTTCGACGTACATTTTGTGAACAATGTAATGAGAAACGGTATTGTCAAGAAAAGATAATTGGGATTCGGCAAAAGTAATAATTTTCAAAAAGTTGTTAACGAGCTTAGAGAATGATTTTTAGAGGTGCGCTGGTTTTAAAGAACCTCGCAGAACAAATTATTACTGCTGCTTATGAACATTAGAGAACATTTCGGATCCTAACTCGGACAGGATCTTTCCTCGAAAATTTTGGTGTTGCTTGACTTGCTACTCACTTGCATTTCTTTTCCGACTCCTTATATTTTATTTTTTTCATTTACTGAGTGGACATGCATTTTGTCGATTATCCATGTTTCGTGATATTGTTATCATTATTGTTATCAATATTCCTGGATCAATTTTCATTTTTTAAGTATATGTTTTCCTCCAATTATCACTTTTATCTTGTTATCCGTTGGAAAATAGAGATTCAAGCTCCGAACCTCAAGAGATGATCTCTTGATCTGCACTAATTAACATGGATTAGTTTGTAAAATATCTATGGAATGCTGATGTCTATGAAAGAAATTTGGCCGAAAAGCAGACTCTTAGATCAACGAAATGATTACGTATTGGCCTCATTGTTTATTGTAAAAACGAATGTGTGTAGCCAAATAATTTAATTTTATTTTTTTGAAAGCATATGGTTAAAATATTTCCCTTTTATTTTTTTCGCTTTTGATTTATGTTTTCTTTATAAAACATTTGTCATTTTTTTTGCTACTCGTCATTATATTAATTCTTTGTTGTTACTTCTTAATATTGCTTGTCATTTGTATTATATGCCATTATAGCTATATTTAGCGTTGAATTACGATGTAGTTATGTGGGGTTAGGATAAGCGAGTTGTTATTTCAGTTGGGGGCCAGGATAAGCGAATTGTTATTTCAGATAAAGTGGAACGTCATGTATCGTGCTCCTTTGCCTTGATATTGATGAATCGAGTAATAGTAATTTAATTTAATAGTGACTAAGGACCATCTATTTTTATGCCTAAATGGCGAAAAGGTCTCATCCTAGTAATAGGTACGGCAAAACAATTCAGAATTAGCATTTTTTTTAAGAATAATTCTTACCAAGCCAACCATTTCTGATCAGGTTTGCTTCGTTTTAGTTTGTCGATAGATTTTGCCAGCGTATAGAAATACGTATCGATGGCTTAGTGGTAAGACGAGTGGGGTTTAGTGGTATAGTGGTTTAGTGGTAGCCAATGAGAATCGAGAATAGTTCCAGTGGCCACATATTTCGGCAATGTCACCAAAGGCTAACTCGGCTCGCTCGATGAGTTGGTTACTCATTTCGGATGAGCCGATGCTCGGGTTCTATTCTCGAAATAAAAAAGTAGGCCTGTAATTCTGAAATTCGGATGATAATGGCGATATTTAAAAAGTGTTGAAAAATTTAGAGTATTTTGAGAAATATTGGGAATTGGCGATCGGTTAATTTATTTATTCTCAAGTTCATTCTCGTAAACTGCTTCGTTATCTTATTCGTCGCGACAAATGTTTTCCTATTTCTTGCTTATCAAAAATTCTAAATTCTAAATATAAAAATTCTTATTTTGGAGCAAACAAATCACAAATTTTTCTTTTCATAAAATAATTTCTCTGTCAAAAATAATTTCAATATTACTTCCACAGTTTTGAATTTCTTCGTTTTTCTTTTAATTTTTCTCAATTTTTTTTTACTCTTCGCTTAAATAAAGTTTTTTAGAGAATCATATTCGTCAAATTGTGATTCTTTTACATCAAAAATCTCTAAAACTTATGCCTCTGAATCAAATGAAATGAGCCATATTAGTGTTAATTTGAATGGACGAAGCACATCGAATGAAACCATTGATGGAACTCTTCAATCAGGTCGATCATTTTTTATCGTATGATTTTCTTCTTTTCGTCAATAATTAGACGAAGCTTGGTTTCTTATTTCAAATTTCTAAAATTTCATCTTTTTTGTCAGCTGCTGAAGAAGCTGAAGAGAAACTGAGAAGGAAAATGGTTCAGCGGATTACTACTCTCATTTCAGAGCGCCAGCACTGAGCTTTTGCACCTATCTCTTAAAAATCCGTGTTATACTGGCGACTTATCTATATTTTTATTATATTGTCGGCCTGGTTCGATAAGGCAGCCTAATTAGACAAACTTCTAATATTACTTTTATTTGTAATCTTTAAGAATTTATTTAAATTTTAAGAGTGTCAAAATGTTCCATTTTCGTCATCCACAAAATCCGAATCTGAAACATTGAATCTGAAGAGAAATTTCAAAGAAAACTGCAGTCTTCATCGAATATCTTTTAATTGGCGCAAAAAAGAAAAATTTGACACAAGTCTGTTACGAGCACATCAACGATCGCGAAGTGCTGATGGTGAGAATATATATTCTATAAAATTTTCTTGCACCAGTCCACTTCTTCGCGGTGAAACTCAGTGGTTATCAAAAAATGCTCAAGCAAATAATAGTAGTATTAATGCGCTTAAGGCAACTAAAAATTTTTTTAAGAGGTAAGAAATTTCTTATTTATTAGATTTTTGCTAAATAAATAAATAGGTAATAAAAAGAGATTTTGGATTCTTTAAATATTTTTTATGTATTTATTATTATATAATAATAATTTCTTTAATTTTGATAAATGAAAAAAGCTATTATTGGGTTTGTCTTTAAAGAATTTTTGCCAAAATCCTCGGTAATTTTGTTAGCTCTTAAAATTTTCCACAATCTTATTGCTGTGCGAGGTTTTTGTTCGACTATTTTGGTTATTGGTTTTTGTTCGCTCAGAAAGCTAATAAAATATTGTCGCAGTTCTCGGAATCTCAAATTTGGATAATTAAATTAAATCACAAAATATTTACGAATTTTACATCGTATTTCGATAATTACGTAAACGTTGTATTATTCTCATATAAGCAATAGCAAATACAGCAAAAATCGTTTATCCCCTTTTCCCATATGTCAACTCTTTTCAGTGTCAACAAAGTCCTTGGCTTTTTTAGATTTTTAGGGAAAAAAATAGAAACGGCTTATCACGATTGGCTTTTTTTCCACTTGGAACCTTAAATTATCGTAATTTTCCAATCATCAATTATTGTCAATCGTTTGTGTCTGTGATTCTCTCCTTTGCCCACATTCTAAGGCTGATCTGTGGTTTAAATCAGTTTCTCTCTTCCTTAAATTTGAGTCTCTATCAGTTATTGATAATAATTTCGTAATGATGAAATGAGAATAATATTGCTATCATAACAGGAAATTATTGAGATTGTATAATTCGGCGACGTTACCCGTTCGATCCAATAAACCTGTAATTTCTAAAGCGCTCGTAGACAGTTCGCTAAATGGTCCACAGTTTGAGATCCGAAATTCTTCTAATGTTAATAACGAAGAAGAAGAACAACGATATTGTGAATATGAAGTAAATCAAGGTGAGTTGGTCTATTGTTTTTATTATTATTGTGGTTTTATGATATGATTTTTATTTAAAAAATTTAAATAATCTATTTGAAAATTTAAATAATCTATTAGAATAATTATAGATTCATTTACCATTTCAGATTCTTTTTTAACGGAAAGGCAAAATTAAGGCAAGGAAAGGCTTTACTTAAGGCGAAATTATCAAAAGTTCAAGTGTTTAGGATGTAAAATTTATAAGAATTTCTCGTTTTCTGAAGTTTTATTTTGTTTAGATCATACATATTGCCAACCGTCTTATTTTAACCGTCTTATTCTGTTGTCAGCTGTTCTGTCAATATTTTAGTCGACATTTTTATCATTTTTTTTTCTATCTTATATCAGTCTTTTTTTTATTCTAATGGTACTCATCATTTTTGCTCGTTGTGCTTGTTTTGTCAGATTACTATCAGGTACCAGGTAATTTTTGCTGGAAAGTTACTTGGCGGTAGAAATGCAGGTGAATTACCTGGATTTTCAAAAGACTGGTTTGGTTCTGCAGGGAGTGCAATTTTAATATCGGCTTTTCGAAACGAGCCAATTTTCCTAGATATTTGTCTTTTCTTTACGATGAAAAATTTTTGAACATTTTTCAATGAGAATGGAGTTTTTCTTTTAATTGAAGAACTTTTTCTATTAATTGAATTGGAGTTTAATGGTTTGTCTGATAATATAATTATTTCTTATCATCGATTTTTTTTACTAGTTGTGGTATTCTTTGCTTAAAAGTTCATCAGCTCTTATCAGTTTACCCTTATCAAATTTGTTTGCATTGGTTATTGCCAGCTAATGGTGTAAACATAAGATGATAAATGGATAACAATTCGTTGCTTTGTTTTACTCTGTAAGATATTTTTTTAGATTCTACGACTTGTATAACAACCGATAACGAATCAATTTCATCAACTATAAAAGACATTGCTGATGAACCTATGAATGATTCAGTTTTTAGAAAATCTTTCAATTCAACTTGTTCTTCAAATTTTTCGGCTGATTTTCATTCATGGTCGGAATTTTTCGATCATCTTAGGAAAGAAATCGTATGTCTATTTTATTTTATTTTTTTTATAAGAATATTCGCTGTTTTGGCTGGTTTAGATTTTGCCACGCTTAGAAGCTCAAGTGGGCTGCCAGTATCAGCGGCATGCTTGAGTGATAGGTTTACTTCTGTAGGAAATAATAGAATAATAACCAATAACCTATTGAGTTATTCTACTCTCATGTTAATTTTGCTTACGAATTATATAAATAATTATATTTTTTTTAAGTTCCAAAATATCGAAATATCGATAATAGTTTATTAATGAAAATAAATATGCTTTAGATAATTTATCATGCTTTTCTTATCCACAAGATTGCCTGCAATTTATGAATTAGTATTTTTTATTTTTCACTTCTGTGAATCAACAGATCTTTGCTTAGAACCACTTTAATAACAGTTGTAGTCGATTATACGTAGTTTTTCATTTATTTCTCGCTTTTGCCCAAAGATATGATAATTCTTTATCTTTCAGTAGGTCTGATAAGTACCAAAATAGGAAGGAAAATGAAGTTAAATATTCAAATATTGAAATAATTTAATAGCTAAATTGCTTCACATTTATTTCCGCTAACGATTAATGCAAAAATATTTATTTTATATTTAAAATGTGGCTCACTAAGTGTGGCAATTAAGTTCCAAATTTCATCATTTCTGGCATTTTACAATTTTTACTGGTTTTTACTGGCTTTTTTAGTTTGTTCATTTTAGGCTAATATGCGTGAAAGAGATGCGCAAATTTTGGCTGATCTACGACGGGTCGAAATACAGTTAGAAAACGTTAAGAATCGAGCAATGTGCTCATCGAAATCCAATTATGAACTTGACAGGCGAAAACCAAAATTGGGAGATCTCGTTGAAAGTATGCCATTGTGATTGATCATTTGCCTTTATTATTTTTATTATTTATTTATTATTTGTTTATATGATGAATATATATCTTCTAAAATAAACTATTTACTCAATTTTTCAATTTTTCCATGAAATAAAATTTCATTAAATAAAAGAAAACTTAAAAAAAAGTTTGTTGAAATATCATTTTTCTTCAAGAGAAATAGTGCATTAATTTCACAATTTCACAATTAATAAATTATCGTCGTTAAATTATGAATTATAAAAATCATTTTTATGCCTTATTTTTGTAAAAAATACAATTTTAAGAATTTTAATCAAAATTTAAATCTTAAATTTAAATCATATTTGAGACGTCGATTTAATATTAGTTTTTTAGAGGATTTTTCTAAAGCAAATATATCATAAAAGGGAAGTTTAAATGGGGTCAAAGGGCACTTTTATGTTAAAATCCTAGCTAAAATTCATAGAGAGATTCTTTGGAAAAATCCAGATTTATGAATTCTTATTGAAGCGACATAAGCCTATTTTTTAAAAATCCTCATGATACTGGCGATTAATCTATATTTCTGTCGTCAAATGACTCTCAGAGAAAATTTATTTGCTCTGACAGAGCCAGCGGAGGAAGTCGAATTAAAAATGGTGAACTCTCGGAAAAGAAAATGTTAACAATATCAAATAACTTAACTTATTCATGATGCTTAATGGATGAACTGAAGCCAATAAAATTTGTATCTCCTAAAAATAAAATATTCCTCAATTTTCAAGATTCTATACTTTCCGTATAAATAAATCTTTTAAGCAAATTAATTTTTAAGTAATATAATTGTGAAATATTTAAAAAATTTTATTTTTTATTTTAAAAAATTTTAAATTGTAAAAAAGTTGAGGGTGTGGTGAAATTTTTCTGAGCAATCTTCTTTCTTCTTCTTCTCCATCGTCTAAGTCCATATATTGCTGGTCCATCTATACGTTCAAAATCTTTCCTAAACCTATCAGTCCAGGTCTTGATTGGCCCACCTCGCTTTTGCCGCCAACCGTTACACGGTTTAGCAAATAACGAAATATGCGTCAACTCCTGTGGTGGACGACGGAGAATGTGCCTAACCAGCGAAGGCGGCGTTCAGTGATAATATTATGCAAGTGGTATTTGAACAAAGGTGGATGCGATGTAGTGAGATTTTATCCACTCGGCGAACCCGTAATATGTACCTTAGACAAGCAATATAATATGATTTATCGTAATTTTTTTCTTAAATTTTATAATTTTTGAATTTTTTAAATTTTCCAACATTCCTATTTTTTAAACATTTTTAAACGATAAACATTCTTCCTGCGATAATCCATTTTTGCTGTAAATTTGAGACTGCGCTAGGTTGGGATTGGTTTGAGTTTTGCTTTAACCTTTCACTTTGCATTTTTCACCAGTTTATTTGTCTTTCTCGCATTCTTCATCTTCAAAATGTTTGATTTACTATTGATTCTTGATTTTTACCGAGTTTTCGGTTTTTATAAATGTGGTGAAATGATCGCTCTTTTTTTTCGAAAAATTTATTATTTTCGAATTATTTCTCTAAAATCGGACGAATAAGAAACAAATAGTGGACTGAGCAATTGGAAAAGGTAATAATCGAAGGTTGGATTGAGAATAATTTCCGCTGAAAACAATGGGATTATAGATCCATAGAGCCTTTGCAGAATGCTAAATTTATTGCGGATTTATTCCGTTTTATATGGAATTGGATTGAGTATTTCGATTTCCTGAACAAAAATAAAGACACTTGTCGTTATAAAATCGAAGTGACCATATTTCTGGTTCACTATATTTCTGATATTAACTGACTCTTTGATAAGAAATTTTTTAATGTACTATCAGCCAGTGAAGTTAGCCTAGTCAAAAATGTTAAGCGCTAACTACCTGCTGAGATTCGAGGGGCCAAAAAATCGAATGAATTATAAAATATAAACGAACAAGGAAAAGGAAAGAAAATATAGGTCGATTGATCAATGAATACAAGAGGAAAATAAGGCAAACCTAGATGAATTAAGTAGAATCAAAAAAGTGGGAAATAAATGTGTTTATGTGAAAAATCCATGGAAAAAATATGTGACAATATAATAAACAATGAAATTAGGCAAACTCTGACAAAACTTCAAAGACGGTGGCCAAAAATTTCAAATGTCTAAATCCATTGATTCGTTTTCGGAGTGAAACGAGGATTGAAACGAGGATTGGCTGGCTTAAAACTGGTCCTAAATATGAATCCTTCTCCCATAAAAGTGCAAATAATATCAGAGGATTATAAAAAATATGATAAATAATACTGTAGTAAAATTCTATGAATATGCACAAGAGCGTGCCAAATATAAATCTCAACAGCAAATTGTACAAGATCATTTGCAGATTCTTGCAATTCACGTATAAATTGCAGTTTGCAGAAAATTAATTCATGCGCTCATTTCGTCTGTACGCTATTACATTGGATTCTAGTTATTTTCCTTCACTTAAGATAGGAGACACCGTCGAATGTTCAGATTCTCGATCGATGCAGTTTCAGATCTTATTCTGTTCATTTGTTTGTGACTCGATTCAGTTTCGCAAAGAAATTTCAGTTGTTCACTAAAATTGGCCGAAGAATTGAGAATTTGAAGAAAAAGGAGAATGAAAACATTTATTTAAAAGAAGTCGTTTATTTTAAGGCACTAATTTTCGTTCCAAAGTTCCACTTCACGATCGATTCGCTGATATTCCAAATAATCACAGCGATCTCGCTTTAGTTTTTCCACCTTTGGAAGTATATCTTCTTCCATCACCTCAAATTGAATGAATTAGAAATATAACACAAAAACTACACCCAAAAAAACTGAAACAAAAATCTAAAAATCAGAAAAAGAACACCAAATGAGGCTGAAAGAATTTCATACCTGCTTGATTTCAGCCATTTTGCCTTCTTTTTTTTCGACGGTTCGTAAAGCACTTTGTTTTTTCGCTTCATACATACGTGTACCAGCGGCTTCTTCAATCATTCCCAGTATCTGTATTGGCAGACATTCACTTCAAAATAATTTAAAAAGTACAAGAGAATTTTAAAAAAATACGTTCACCATTAAATTTTAATACCTCCATAGGCTTCGTATTCAAAACTTTAGTAATACGACCTTGCATTATAAGAAAATGCGGATTATTAACGTTGAGCCCCACTGATCGAAATAAATCGGCCACTCGACTATTGGTAGCAGCGGTGCCATTTAAAGTATAAGTGTTTCGACCATTTATTATGATCTAAAAGAATGAGAATTCTAAATATTCTAAAATTCTAAATACTAAAAAAATACTCCCAATGAAATAAAAATAAATGCTGAAAACCAAAACAAATATTTAAAATACTTTAAACCAATATTTTCTTAATGGTAATATAATCAGAAGAGTCAAACATTTCCGGTCTTGGAATAATCTTGGATTAAAATTTGGATTTCGACCTTCACTACAGAGCCATAGTATAAAAATCCTCGAAGTTGCTAAATTTTATTTTTCGTTTTTTAAGAACAAACTGAAGGTTTCCTTATCAAAATGTAAAAAGCGTTCGTTCAGCCTCTTCCTGACTACAATACTACCTGTTACTCCCTGAGATATCGCAAATTAAGGTAAATAATTGAAGGCCTCCAAAAATATTTTATACTACGCCTCTCTCCTAATTACAATTTTAATTATAAAATAAAACTTCTACAATATAACCTGGATTCTCTGTCAGTTCGTCGTATTAAACAAGATTTAATTCATACTTATAAGGTTTTATATGGTTATGTTTTCTAGATTTAGAAACTAGATTGTTCAAAATATTATGATTTTAATATAATTTTAGGCTAAATTTAAATCCAACAAGAACTAATGGACTAAAATTACTAAAATCTTTGTGTAAAACTAAACTAAACTAAGGACTCATGATTTCTTTATTCGTAGTATTAATTACTGGTCTAAACTACCGAACGCTATAGTTTGTGCGCCATCCCTAGCCATCTTTAAAAAAAGATTTGATAATATCATTAATGATTTTATTTAAAAAGTTCACATCATGCGGTATGAAATCTCATTTTTTGCCAACCGATTATGTATTATATAGTTACTTCGAATTGTATTATATTATACTATTTTATAATTTCATCTTTATGTCCTCTTTAAATTTCTAATTTTTGTCATATTTTCTGTTTCTTTTTTTATCATTAATTTTTCATCATTAATTTTTATTAATTATTATTTTAGCTGTTATTATTACGAGTATATGGTGTTTGTCGCCCTACTTGGTTGCATTTCAATAAATAAATAAATAAATAATAAATTCAATAAATAAATAATGATAACCAACCAATAATTGGGAATCAAGAAAAATCCAAATACTAAACCGTAATAACAACCACAAGAGGTGTTCATTTTTACAACCAAAAGGAATGATTTATATAAGGATCAGTCAGATACATAAAAGTTATGGGAATGCATTGGTACGAAATAGTGTAGAATAGAGGCCAAATGGTAAGCGATTGCGATATTGAAACCGCGAAATTAAATTTATAAGCATTGGATAAATAACCCGTTAGACTCCACGCATGAATAAGTATAAGAGATGGAAATGATTTAACAAGGAAAATATATAAAAATATATGGATAGATGGGAATTTAGCGACAACATTTAGGTTATAGCTTGAAATAAGAAACTAAAGAAATTTTATGAAATGAATTTTATAAAACAATTCAACAAATATATTTTCGAATAGCAGTTGATGGACTGATTCTTAGCCATCGAATTTCAAGCGTACCACTACCAAGTTCAACGACTGCAGAGAGATAAATACCTAGAAATGAGGACAGCTTAAAAGCAGAATTATACGAGAATAATGGTTGTAAACTGTCGCCAATGCGAACTAATTTTATGAGCAATTCGCGTGTCGAGTCCTCCTTCCTTCAAAAGATCGACTTCCAATAGGCTTGCATTAATCGCTATGCTAGAATTTTGTGATATGAATTTTTTTGAATCTTTTATCTCGAAGAGGTTTCGTTGTTGAATCATACTTGGTATAACCCTTCCGCAGAACCTAAAGTGATGGAATGTAAGGTAGAATTTGAATGAATTTTTTAAATCGGATAATAATTTAAATATTCAGAAGATCAGATGACTTCCATGGATTAAGATTTTAAGAGCACTAATTATCACTGAGACATCATTGTAGCATTTCTCCGTAACTGCGTTTTGCAGCATGAAGTTGTAGGCTGGCATCAGATCATCAGGTTTTCCTCCATAAATCTCTACATTAATGCCTTGAGTATTAAGTATTTAATCAAAATTTGGTATTAAGACCACGCATATTTATCAATTTAAATTGAGATGAGCACTGTGCACTTTGAGTTGAATAGTGTTTCCACGCAGATATTTTTTTAAGTTTATTATGCAAAAAACTACAATTTTGGACTGTGTGGACCATCCCTGTTAGATTTAAGCTTGTCAGTGGTACTAAGTATTTTTTCGTTTTGGTCTTTTGGCTTAAAATATTGGATGCAAATAATGAGTTTAGCATCCTTAGTGGTCATGAATTCGCATGAACTCAGCATGTGCTTGCAAATTCGGCACATTCATAGATTTGCTGGTAAAAATAGTTTTAAAACGGCGAGCAATTATAACCATTTCTAAATCCAATATATTACCGTTTCATAGGAATTTATAAAATATCCTTGAGAAATATAACCTTGCGAATCTGAAGACTCACTATTATTTTTAGGAAATTTTACCTTTCGTTTTTTTTATTTTAATTTAGAATATTATCACTAGTTTCTAATCAGCTGCATTTACATCTCGTGGATTTCCCTTAAATCTTAAGGCATCTTCAAGTTAGTCGTCACAATCGTATAAAAGCGCTATCTTTTGCGAGACGTAGGAAGACCACAATACGAGGGGTGTCCTTTCACTCTGAGTGCATAATATAGATAGATACGAATATACATACGAATTCGACATGTAGTGGTTCACCGTTCCTTCAGAGACATTGTTCATTTCGCTGGTCTGGGAAAAGTGAACAATCACTGATTGATGAAAAATAGCGTTTTTCGCAGTAATGAGCAAAACGTACAAAAAAATTGCAATTTAAGAAAACTCCGGCGTAATAACATAGTTCTCGTTTGCTATGGAATTGTTCTCGTCCCCAAGTTGATAACGGTGCTATTATCGCTTAATCCAACATTTGCATCGTCCAGCTTCTTCTAACAGTTCTCACCATTACTAGTTTGGCTAACTCTGCTGCAAGAATAAAATTTTTCCATCCTTGATAGTAATGGAAGCCATTTTTTTCCTTGTATCGCTGTTCCCATCCCCTAACCAGCGAAGGCGAGACGCTCTTTTATGATAAGTTCTATAAATGCATCGTTCACAAACGCTGGAGAATTTTCTTTGAATTGAAATTTATAAATTTTATAATTCGATAAATTTTCCACTTTCATAAGTTTACTGATTATTTCAAACAAAAATATAGCATATAAATTGAATGAGAAATACATTTTAATAATATTAAAATGCGTTTATTTATGATAAAATTTTTAGTAAAAATTTTGATTATCTTTGAATTGTCGAAGAAAAAACTTCAAAATTTATTAAATATTTACTATTTTTTATTTTTCAAGAATGTCATATGATGTTAAATAAGTTTCACGATTCATATTTGTTAAGAGAATTTTTTTTGAATTTTTTCTCAAATCTCGAAAAATTTCGAATTTTTTTTTGAAAAACTTTCTTAATCCGTGCAATCGAAATGATTCATTATTTCGAAAATTTCGAATGGACAAACAAAAAATCGTTGAATGAAAACAATGAAGGCGATCATCGAAAGGTAAAACAGAATCAACAGAACCTTTAGAAAACCTGTTTCTTTGCCGTATTGCTTTCCCCCTATCGACTGATTTTCAGCTCATTAGACTCCGCTATTTGTTGAAATTACAACCTTCAATTTTGCCTATCGCTCGATGTATCGAAATTATTCTTCTAACTGATCTCTTCCTTTTATAGGCCTAAATTCTATCAACGTGTGACGCAAGCATTTCAGCTCAAAAATCGTTTTTCTCCTAAAGTTTCATTATTTGTAATTAATTGCTTGGTGGCTCCGTACCAGTCTCCTTATTTTCAATTATTATTACTGGCTGAGAAATTCGATGGTACTTAAATTAATGACTTTCTTGTGCTTTTCACTCGCTCTTACAGGCGATTTCATTCGCGTAATTTCGAAAGCTGAAAAATTAGAGGAAATTTTAAATAATGGAAATTATACATATATTAGGTAAAACTGTTTTCTTTTAAATATTTTAACAAAGAGAGATTTAAAAAAAATTTATTTCAGATTTATTTTTTATTTGAATTTCTGCCATCTTTTTAACTTAAAATATATGTTAAAAATTTTCCATACTTTTTTGTTTTCCATACTTCATTGGCATTTTTTGAAAATAACCGAATGATCTCTTCGTAGAATCACTTAATTTATCGCTAAAATTTTTTTAAAATCAAGTGTAATCATTGTAAGTGTAATTATTTATGTGAGGATAGATGTGCCAATACTAGAATTCTACTTTCTGGGGACAAGAATAAACCTATGTTTCTAAAACCCGAATGATATAAGCGATACAACCATACCTTTATTGTCAAATGGCTCTATCTCTGGCAATTTATTCCGACAAGTGGAATGAGTGTAAAAAGAAATGTGGTTGATGAATAAACAAAGGAAAAATTAATTGTGATTATAAGAATTATAATTTCGATCTATCAGTTAGCAGTAATCGCTTATTAATAAAATTAAATAAAATCAAAAAATATGTATAATAAAGGAAATAAAACATCCAAAAAATTCGCCACTGTTACTATTAAAATTGCCACTGAAAGATGCTCTCTAAATTAAAAGGAAATAATGATTCTTATTGTTATAAATGAAAAAGAAATTTTATTGCATGTTTTATTGTTTTATCAAATAAAAATGATATTATAATAAATTATTTGTATTTAATAATTTAATTAATATTAGTTTTAAAAAATAGAAAATCTATGAAAACTATGAAAAATTATTTCTCGAAAAAATTTAATTCCCCACATGCAAAATAATAGAATAATTGATGGAATGTTTTCATGAGTTGCATAATTTTTCCAAAAAATATTTCTCAATTCAAAGTTTAATCTATCAAAATCTTTGTAGCATTGCCGCGACACACGACATAAAACAAGCACTTTATTGCCCAGAAGCAAAATTTGGGGAAATTACTTTCCCTCGTTCAGCTGCGTGTTCGAAAGTTGCACTGCCATGTTCAATTTATAATGATACAGATGGTTCGCTTCGTATATTTTAAAAACAAATTTTGGCTTGAATTTTTTAAAAATTCGTACTTTTGAGAAAAAATTGCTAAAAAAGATATATCTTTCTTTTTCTTATTTATTACCTTATAATATATATAAAAGCCATTTGTCTTCCTTAGGCTTTCAGGATACGCTATTCAGCACTGTGACTGTAAAACAGGTAAATGGCTTGCGCAACCGAACCTAGATAATTGCACGCATAAATGGACTATGGAATTTGAACAAGCTATTAGCAATAATGAACCTGCGGAAATTCTAAGTGGCTTGTTGGCAGACAAGCTCAAATCGACGATACAATTTAGGTCAGCAAAATAGTCGCATTAATTGCACCAAATCTGAAACTTTCAAAATCTATTCTAATATCATATTAAAAACCTAACTCATCCTCACTTTATCAATTTGTCGCTATTTTAGCAGTAATTCTTTTTGTAATTAATAAGTAAACTTAGGCACGATTTAATAATTTTTTTAACAATTTCACCTTGAAAAAACTTTCTATCTGCGGCATAAAAATTCCGATTGTAATCGTCCTTTTGCGAGTCCTATCTGGTGTATCGGGTGTACCAAAGATTAATTCTATGATAGATTGATAACTGAGAGAATTGAAAAAATCGGCGAAAAATCTTTAAAAAATTTCGATAAGCAAGAAATGTTAGTAATTTTCCAAAAAATGATGACATTTCGGCCACTGTTGATTCGTTAAAATTATGAACCAAGCAAACCTTTAAATGAGAATATTGTCTTTTATTTTTACTCTCACATGACAACTTTTGTGATAAATTGATAACCATAACAAAATGCAGTTATTCACGAATATTCTTTCAGGTTTTCTGATATAGTTGGTAGCGTAAATGTTTTAGAAAATCTAATTCCTTTGGCTATGCAACAATATGTTCTTATTGATAATCGCACTGAAAGAAGTCAGAAGGCTATTGAATTTACTCAGGCAAAAGATAATTCATTTTTAAAATCAAATTTGTATAAAAAACATAAGATTTAATTATTTTATTCAAAATAGTTTGTACAACAGTGAATAAATACAATTCAAGAAAAACGCCTTATAAAATATTGGAAAAAAATTATTATATTTAATGAAGAGTTTTTTGACCACAATTAATGAACATAGAAATGATTATGGCTTGAACAGTTCAGTGGATTTCGATATTGTGATTCTATTTCCAGCGGGAGTAAGCCTATCTTCCAGAAATCTGAGTGGAGTTGGTGATTCATCTAAACTTCTATGGCCTAGCTAAATTTGTCTGATCTGATAAGCCCGCAGCTAGAAATGGCAAATCGCTCACAGAAAAAGAAAAGAAAAAACACTGTTTAAACTGTAAAAATCTTCTGACTTCTTATTTACTTTCTTACATAAATAAATTTTTAGAGATTTGGAGCTGCTGGTGATGAATTACTTAGTTCGAGAGTCGAGATAACCTGGATGCAGTTAGGAACCAGAGTGCGCATCGCTACAGCTTCGACACTAATGATTTCGCTGGAAAGAAGCGCAGCTTTGATGGCCACTTTTCTTGATCAGAAGCAAAAGAAAATCAATTATAGTAATTGGGGTTGATATTTTTTGTGTATCTTTTAAATAGGTCTTAAATATAAATTTATAAACATTATGAATATTAGCAAAGAAAATTATTTATTGCAAATTTTTTCAGCAATGATTTATTAAAATTGACCGGTTTAAGGAATGCAAGTGCAAGTGAAGTCACCTGGCAAAACTACAAATCGAATAGCAGCTTTCGATGATTCCAGTTCGAAAAAACTGCAACAATCATTATCGTTGCCACATGTTCCTCACGATGATCATCAAAATTCATCATTTAATCCCGAGTTAGGAGTACCACTAAGTTCACCAGCTTTTTATAAAGCTTCAGTACCAGCAACAATTAGTTTCAGCGATTTCCAGTTGTCACCCGTGATTAGCTTGCCGTCGCTTGAAGTCTTGCGTAAGCTCATTTTAAGCTTATAAATTATAAGTCCTAAATTCTTTCATTTTTGTTCAATTCATATATATTATGCTTCATAATCCTTCAGTTATGTTGTAATGAATAATAAAAAAAGTAATAAAACTAACTTTGAACAAGATTTTTTTTTCAACTCTAAAGCTTCAAATTTCCTCTATAGAAAGAAACTTTGTTCTGAAATTGGAAAAAAAGTTTCATTCATTTTCTTCATTTCATTTTCTTTTTTTTAAAATAATTTCATTACAGAACAATCTACTTATAAAGCAAGTGCTTCGGCCAAAGCAGCAACTGTTCCGTATCAGTTCAATCCTCAAATACAACCTCGTTTATTAGGAACACATCAGTTATGTTTATGTCTATTAAAAAGTTTTCTAATAAGTCTAATTTTTTTGACGTTTTCTTATTTTTTCTCCTTGTCATTTACTTGCTATCATTAGTAACAGGATAGGATGGCTCAGTGGGTTGTTGCTTAATTCGGAACGCTGATACTAAGGTTCTATTCCTAGCAGCAGTAAACCAGTCCAAAAATCCGGGTGGCGCTGGAGATTCACTTGTATTTCTACCGACTTCCTGGCACATTTGTCCAATGCGACAAGCCAGCGGAGCGAGTTTAACTAGTAATGGTGAAAAATGTTTTAAAAAAAAGAAAAAAACTTCATCATTATTATTACTGCTATATAGTCGTACCCTTGTCACACGTTTTTGTACTGTTATTTAGCTTTTCTTTTTAGGATACGACGGAGACTGCTGTCTCTTTAGACCGCAATCCTCTGAGGCTTGGCTATTATATATTCAAATCTTTTGGAAATCTTCTGAACACTGATAATAAAACAATTATTAATAGTCTTATTATAGGTAAAAAAAAAATTACTTTTTATGTTGTTTTACAATTTCCAAAAATTTCGTGGCCTATATTTTATTAGAAAGCAATTAGTTATGATTAATGAAGTGGAATATTCCAGGTGCCAGTGTAAATAATCCAACACAAAATCTCGAACTTCCAAAGTCGAATCCAGTTTCTTTTACTTTTTACCACATAAAACAAAAGAATGTCGCAAATCCAAGATGTGTATTTTGGGACACTAATAAACGGTATATAGATAAATATTTCTAATAATAGGCAATTTTTCATTATTAAATTATAAATTATAATAAGTGAATTTTTATAAATATGTCAGGAATTTATCTTATTTCCAAAAAATTTTAAGTATCGACGTTGAAATATTCAATTTTTTAAGAATTTGGAACGAAAGTGGATGTTCTGTGCTACAAACGTCGATAAATTCCACTGATTGCTTATGCACCCACTTAACCAGGTTTTTTTTTTTTATTTACTGCTTAAGTGTTTAGATTTTTCAAGGGAAATGCCGATTATATAAATGCATATGCATGCATTTGCAAATGTAAAAATGCATATTTTATTTGTCTTTAAAATGTGATAATTAGTGATAAGTAATACCTAATAGGATAGCTACGAATAATCATTTCATTTATGGATAAACACAAATTTTTGTTTGCATTTGTCAAGTTTTATGCTTTTATTTTCATATATTTTTGGCATTACCATAATATTTTCATATATTTTTGGCATTTTTAGTGATATCGCTGCTGATAAAATTCCATACCTTTCATTATAATATTTAATTCTATTAAATTTCCATACCTTTCATTACAATATTTAATTCTATGTCCAAGTGACTGACAATGACATATGAATTTCGTCCTAATAGCGAGTATAATTAGTTGCGAACTAAACCCAACTAATTCTGCCAAAAAGAAAAAAATCATTATAGTGTAAAATTTATTTTATCCAAATTTCTTTCCCTCTTTAAATGGTTTCAGAAATCGTATCCAATCCCATTTTTGATAGGGAATGCTTTCCTGAAAAGAGCTAATAAAAGAGCTAAGAACAGACGTTAGTCGTTAATTGCAAATATTCAGTGCCCAACAATACGATAAATAAACACATAAATTCCTTTCCCTATCAAAGTTCCAGGGAAATGCAGGTTTTAAGAAAAAAATTAAAAGATTGGAATGGAATAGTTAGATTGAAGTTAAGAACTAACAATAAATATATTAAGATCATTGCTTATCCTAAGGTAACAGACATTTTTTGCAAAAAAAAGATTTCATTGCAGCTTTGCAATTTTAATGGATATTATTGGTGAGGACGATGGATCACTGAACAGTTTTGCTTTGAATGTGATTTCAATTCTAGGCTGCTCTTTATCAGCTTTTTGCTTATTTCTAACAATCGTGGTACTTACATGTTTCAGGTAATTATGCTTTTTTTGGTTCTTCCATTTGAGAGGAAAACGCTTAAAATATAAAATATAAAATAAAAATATAAAATATAAAATAAAAATTTGCATAAAATATGCATGAAATATCGGTAAAATACCTATTTATTAATGATTGAAGAGAAAATCCCTTCAAAAATTTCTAATCTTTCTTTTTTTTCTGCTTTTTCTAACGAAATTAATTGTCTCGTTCATTTAATATATCTTTCTATGGCGTGTTAATCGTTCGTTGTCGTGTCATTATCATAATTTGATCGCAATTTTATTCACAATATTGGATGATTGAAACCAATATCATATAATATAAATAAAGCAGAGAATTAATAACTATGGTACCATTAGTAGATTCTCTTCAATTCTCTAAATTTGTTTAAATAGTTAGGAAATCTCTGATTTGTTCTCTTTTCTCGTTGCCCTTTTGCCATATCTCATTGTGTATTTTTAACTAAACGTACGAAAAAAAGAAAACTCCTGTCACTCCAGTGATACTCATATTTCCTTCGTAAAAACATCAGAAATTTTATTTATGGATGAGAGCAAATGGATCGTTAATGATGAAAATCAGACAACAAATTCCAGAGAACGTAAGATTAAAGCATTTTATCGGCATAAGTTCATAAATTATCTTTCGAAATAAAAAAGGTGTTCATCAAGGCTGAATTCTACAATTTTCAACTATGCGATAGGCTGGATAATGGACACTATTTGCCGGTGTTCAAAAGGTGTTTATAGTATAGCATCAAAGACTATATTGATAAAGTTAAGGCTTTATGGTTTTTAATTTTGCATGAATCTGAAAGAAAATTTTTGAAAATAATTGAGAGATTGAAAAAAATTAACTGGCCTCGATAAATCTAATTATATTATACTGGAATTTCCATCGAAATTTTTGCAAATTTTTTTTATTTAATCGAGAAGTTACAAATTTTTTTCTCGTTCAGAGTTCGACTTAAGCTTTTAATAAACAGCACTACTACTTAGCTTGGCTATGCCTCATTTAGATAAGTTGCTTACAAAATTTACAATCTAATAAGGCACCTGAAATTCTTCGTCAACTTCAATACGATTTTAGAAGCCTTTGGAATGTGCGGCACTCGATTCACCGAAATCTTTGTATATGTCTATTGCTTGCTGAGCTAATCTTTTTGTTTGGCATTGATGCTACTAGAGTTCGTATTTTGTGTTCATTCATTGCTATAGCTTTGCATTATCTCTTTTTGTCCGCATTTTGTTGGATGTTACTCGAAGGCTACCAACTTTATTTAATGCTTATTCAGGTAAGTAACTTCTTAAATATTATTTTTAGATTAAGATATTAACAATATTTCTTCTTCTTCTAACCATTATTGGTTAGGCTGGCTCCAACGGGCTACAAGGGTAAAACGCTTCCAAGTGGCGCGGTCTGATGCCATCGTCGACAGTAATGGAAGCCATTCCTTTTTCCATCGTCCAAGTCCATATATTGCTGGTCCATCTACACGTTCAAAATCTTTTCTGACCGCATCAGTCCAGGCCTTGATTGGCCCACCTCGATTTTGACGCCAACCATCACACGGTTTAGCAAATAACGAAATATGCGTCAACTCCTGTGGAGAATGTGCCCTAACCAGTGAAGGCGGCGCTCTGTGAGCATTATTTATGCAAGTGGTATTTGAACGAAGATGGATGCGATCTTGTGATATTTTATCCGCTCGACGGATCCGTAATATGTACCTTAGATAAGAGTGGTCAAAAGCAGATAACTTCTTGATATCCTCCACTTTCATTGGCCATTTCTCAGAACCATATAACAAGATCCAACGGATCACGGCTATATAGATGCGAACTTTCGTTTTTATGGTGATTTCACGACGATTCCATAAAGGTTTCGTCAACCTGAAAAACGCATTTCTAGCTGCCGCGATCCGAGTTATCATCTTTTGCCTGTCCATTTGGTATTAGAGTGGACACAAGATATTTGAAATCGGGCACTTCCCCAATCGGCAATGAATTTGGAGAAAGAGGCATTTTATCAGCTTCTTGCACATACGACGAAAAGACTTTCGTTTTATTTACATTGATCCTGTTTTATTTAAATTGATTGATTATTTACATTGATGTTAAGATAATATTAAGATGTGAAAAAATTATTTCCAATAGCTGGTGTTTCGGCTAGGGTAACTACAGTTATAAATACAGTTATAAATTACAGTTCACAGCTATAAATACACATGGAACCATCGCGAAGCTAGCATTAAAGCGAAAATTTACGTGTTTTGGCTTAGGCTTAGGTTTACGCGCATTTTATTATTGCATTACACACCACCTTATATGACTGCGAAATGTGGTTAATGTGGTTAAATATGATACCTTTGATAAAGGCATATTTTATTCGTCAAGTGGATAAAATCTCAAATACCTACTCCTTGATATTTTCCTCATACAGCGCCGTTTAAAGCTCATTGGGCTCATTAGGCCATTAGACTCTTCGCTGTCCATTACAACAATCGTTGCCTACCTCACATATGCATGCGATGAACAAATTATTTATCGTCAACAGAAATATGGTCAGGAGGGATGATTTTGAACGCTTTAAACGCTATAGCTATTATTCGATTTAGATCATGGAAATTTAAGTTTCTTCTATTAGACAAAACTTCAGACGTAGCCAATAATAATAACATTTATGAAAATTCATTCATAATTAATTCCATCTGGTAAATTGCTTTACATGAATTTACCTCGATTATATTGAAAATGTATAATTTATTGAAGGTTTTTGAAACAGATGAAACAAAAATATTCCTCTACTATCTCTTCGGTTATGGATTTTCTGCGATTATTGTTGCTATCAGCGCGGGAATTAGTTTCGAGAACTATGGAACCATAAATTAGTATGTAGAAAATAAATCATCAGTAATGAAAAGTAATTAGCCAGTTATCCAACTTTATCCCTAAGAAAATCTTAAAATCTATAAAACTTTTTTAAAAAAAATAATTTGCCAATAATAATTTTTATCCAAATAAGATCTTTTAACTATAAACAACTTTGTTTTTCCTCAAATTTTCTCCAAAAATTATAGCAGTTAATTATTATTTAGTTGCTGGTTGAATGCGGAGACGCCAATTATATGGTCTTTTGTTGGTCCAATATCATTTATTATATTTGTAGGTGATTTTGTTCATTGATCATAGAAATTTTGCCATTTAAATCTTCAATTTTTTGATGATATTTTATTTATTTTTGTTTGAATCACTTTCATTTGCCATTTGCATTGTTAGTTGCCGAGCAAAGCCAAACAACTTATTGCACTTTTTAAATTGACTTGTCTAATTTACTATTCTCAGTAATCGCAAATGTTAACCACAGATCTCAAAATTCTAAATTCTCATTTTATAGGCTAACCTTATTTTCCTATTTGCGGCCTTAAAAGCAGTATTATCGGTGAAAAATAGTGCTGTAAGCCGTAGCATGAGGATCTTTGGCTGGCTCAAAGGCTCTACTATGCTTCTTTGCCTATTGGGAATTACATGGACATTTGGATATCTCATGGCAATTGCTCCTGCTAAAACTATTTTCGCATATATTTTCACTCTTCTAAATTGCCTCCAAGTACCACAGTTTTTTTCATTTGTTTTAATTCCTTTTTCTTAATTCCTTTTGAAATATCCAAAAATTTGCCACGCTGATATATGTACGTGTAGGCCTATATCATATTATGTCTAGAAACAAATAATTTTATCCGAAATCACCTAAATTTTGCGAAAATTTTTGCCAACTTTCGTTTAATAGCGTTTTTCCGAGATATTTTTTATTTAATCATCTTGGCTCGTTATTATTTTACTCTAATATATTAATGACATCCCACGTAATCCCTCAAACCTTTCATGTTTTATTTCTCAGACGACATCCTCATTAAATCTCGTTGGTTCTTAATTTGCCTTTTGCCTTCTCTTTCCAACACCCAGGTAGATTCCCTTTATTGTTCCATTAAATCTTATTGTTTTCCTCTCTATATTAACATTGTCTTAAATCTCCTTACACTCATCCCATTTTGCTACTGAATCTTTGACAAGTCTTTGCGAACTAATCTTCTATACTAGAATCCCTTTAAGCGTCTTTAAACCGCTCTCCATTCTTAATTGAAATAGTAGTAGAGCTTGATAGACCCGTCGGTTTCCTATATTAACTATATTAGCATCGTAGTGGTTGCCACGTTGCATAGCCAAAGCCTTGTTTTGGTCTTTAGTTACAGCCCACTAATACTTCTTAAAAACACTTCGTCCGCTCCTAAGAAATCTAGAACTGTTATACTTCTGTTGCCTACCAAATCTATTTCAAAAAACCTTTCCTGACCCCTTTAAGAATTTCCCTAACACTCACGAAGACTCATTGTTCTTTTTTCTTTTCTTAAAACTGATGTTGATAGAGAATAGGAATTCAGCGGTCGTGAAGCGAGTTCGCCTCGGAGCAACTAAATCCCCACAGTTTGAAGGATAATTAAAAAATATGATGGGTTTTTATGAAGAGATATTCTAAAGTTTTGAAGATCCATCACTAAAACTGGTCTTTACTTGATCGAAAATTATATACAAAGATCTTTTTCTTTATGAATATCTAATTAGGCATATGAAATGAGCCTTTTGTATAATGGGCACTTAAAATCGACCTTTAAATCACCAGTGGAAAGGTGCATATCAATTTATATTTAGGTAAAATATAATTCTGGAAATTTTAGGGCGTTTTCATTTTTATATTTCACGTGGTAATGAACGAAAAAGTTGGAACAACAGTGGTAAGATCCATAAAAACTTGTATTTGTGGATGTGATAATTCCAATATTGGCAGCAATATCAGCAGTCAACGCAAGTTTATGAAGCTAATGAAGGGTGATTATACAGCATCAAAAGGAGACTCACATCCATCATCTAATAGCACTGGACTCAATTCACCTGGAAACAAGTCACTAACTCCTCAAGATGCGCCACTTTTTACTTTCACTGCTTCAAGTAATTATTTGCCAATTTGCTAAATTATTAGCCAATTTTCAAACTTTCATGCACAATTTCTGCAAACCCATAAAATAATAGAACATGTAGTTTCGGCTAAGTTCAACCTAGGTTTTCCTGGCCGAATGGACGTCATTTAAAGTGGTGTCCGGATAATTTTGGGAGATCAGTTGCCTTCTGATTGTAAGCGATCCTCTTGCCAAGAAATCCTATCATAAAGATGGGTGGAGACCGCCATGCAAACAATGATGGATGATGGATGTTAGAAGAGGAAAAAAACATGCATCGATGTCGAAATTTCATGCTAATATAGAAAACCTCTAATTTGTATATATGCTTTGTTTCAAGGTTGGCCCAGTGGTGAGAAAAGAATACAGCTGATTAATAGTGGTCTTTAAAGTCATCTTTCGAGCACAATAACTAAAGAATTCATTTAAGGGTCAATCACCAATAAATCGATGTGTGAAACAGTTTTTTTAAGATGGAAATTTTTCAGACGCTGATAAGCCAAATACTTACTCAGCTTGCCAAGAAACGATTTCAAATGGACTAAAAGATAATATCGACAAGGCGGACGTCTTCGAAGATCAGATTCGCAACTCTTTTAATTCATTTCGATTGGAATCGGAAGAGCTAGAAGGAATCAGTCGGCGGCATCAGTCGACACCGGTGAGAAGGAAAAAGGATTCTTCATCACCTGTGAAATCTATGGCCACCGATAGGCTACCAATTACTGTTGTCCGATTCTGAGTACTTTCCGTTTACTAAATTTAAATTTGTCGAAATTTCTGTAGGCAATTATTCATATTATCTGTATTTTAAAGATATTTTATCATAATGAGATTTTTTAGATTTTTTGGTACAAACTTTATTCTTTCTTGTATGTTTATAAATATTTGCCTTAAACAAAAGCACTATTAAATGTGCTTCTTATTTATATAATAATTATTACTTATATAATATTTGCATTATTATCTTCTCAATGTACCATTGTTTCCTTAAAAGTAAATATAGAACATAGAAAAGGTGTTTGTTAGGCTAGAAAATGCTGAGATTCTAATGAATATGGTAAATGGTAAGTTGGCAAGCTATTCATATAAGCTATTATATTCTTCTAATAACACATATAATTCCTTGCGTGGTTGGTTCCATTAGCGTGAGGAATTTTCGTCCGAATGTCACTTGCGGACAAGTACGAATTACAACAAAGATGCAAATATCTCGTCTTCCAGCCAAAATTATTGCCTATCACCGTGCCTTAAATTCTCTTTGTATTTTTTCCTCGGCATACTTTCTATAAAGGTGGTTCTTTTGTATTTTTCCTTGCTATATAATTTCCTATAAAAATTTTCTTTTATTTTTTAAATAAATTATCAATTTCAAAAGAAATAAGAATCGGAGATGAAATTATAATGGATATAAATTCTACGTAATATTATATTTTATATTTTATAAATAATTAATATATGAATTTACGAATTTAGAATATTTTTTATGTTTTTTTTTCCTAGCAGAAATTAGAAACTTCTAAAGAATATTTTTATTTTTAAAATCATTTGAGTCGAGGTTCTTTTGAATTTTTCTATATTTTAGTAAAAATCTATTATTTCTGTTTAAGATTTTTCAACTAATAAAGATTATTTAATCAAAATAAATAAAATTTATAAAATATATTTCAAGGGCTGCGAGTCAAAATTATTTTGAATAACTAAACATGAAACAAATTGAAAGCGATAATGAACTATTAATTTATACGATACACGTCAAATAATTCCTTAATTACCGATTTATGCCAAAAGAAAAGCAATAAGGAATAATTAGTCCTAATAATATTAATAATAATAAGGATAATGAGCACAATAATGGTGATATTCGGATTTAAGTGTTATTCGATTGTCGCTGAATTTTCTCAATTAATATTTGTATAGATTTGTAATGAAATAATTTTATCTATATGAACTTCTCATACAAATAATTGAAACAAGTTATTAATATTATTGCTAATGCAAACGAATAAATAATATGGATAATTGCTAATATCCTGGATAAGTGCAAAATTTGTTTTTATATAATATTAATATTATATATAATATTAATAATATTAATATTACTAACAAATATTATTAATAATACAATATTAATATTATTAAATTTAATAATATTGATACCATTAATAATATTATTGATTTAATTTTATAAAATTTCTCCAAAAATTGTATTAGAAAAGGAAAATTAAAAATCAGATTTTATGGATAATTTAGTAATTACTAAATTACTAAAATAATTGCTAAAATTTCAACGTTCTTCGGCATTTCGATATTTTAGTTCATTCGTTGCATCTGATAAGTAATTTTATCATTTAAAAATGCTAATGCTACTGAGCATAAACCTTTATTTCTATCCTCGAGTGATGCACTGAATGAATGTTTTTAATATTCTCTTTGATAAATTTTAATTGTAACTAATTTCGAAAATAGTTTTTACATTGCTTTTTTTAGCAAATTTCGGAAGAATATTCAAAATTGGAGTAATTGGTGCTCTCTTAATTTTATGTATTAGTGAAAATATATATGGAAAAGTTGATTGATGAAATCCATTAAAATTTTGATAATCCCATTTAGTTGAGAAGCAAATCTATATTTATCTACTCAAACTTAAATTATCTTTTTTTTCTAATTTTTTTTCTGTTAATCTTAATTGAAGAAAATGTGATTTTTCTATTCCTTAGCTGCAAAATTAAATGCACCATTTGAAAAGTTTGAGAGAATTATTCAACAGTTTCACTTGGAAGTGCTTCGGCATAATGAATTCTTTCAAACTTTTTCCTCAAAACATGTTTTGTTCCTATAGCAAAGTTTCCTAAAAAAACGGCAATGGCGAATGGAAATCCATTTTCGATAACTTTAGAAATTATTTATTTATTTCATATATTTATTTCCTTATTTTATAATAATTCCTTTATAATATTTTATTTCAAATA